ACTTTTTTGTTGTGGTTCAGCCGCGCAGTCGAGTCCGACTCTTCGCGACCCCATGGACCACATCATGCCAGGCCCTCCTGTCTTCCGCTGCCCTCTGAAGTTTGCTCAATTTCATGTTCGTTGCATCAGTGACACTGTCTAAACATCTCATCCTTTGCCGTCCCCGTCTTCTTTGACCTTCAGTCTTTCCCAGCATCAAGGTCTTCTCCAGTGAGTGCTCCCTTCTCATTGGGTGGCCAAAGTATTTGAGCTTCAGTTTCATTATCTGGCCTTCCAGGGAACAGTCAGGGTTGATTTCTTTTAGGACTGACTGATTTGATCTTCTTTCAGTCCAAGGGACTCTCAAGAGTCTTCTCCAGCACCATAGTTCAAAAGAATCTATTCTTCGGCGCTCGGCCTTCCTTATAGTCCAACTCTCGCAGCCATACATGACTACTGAAAGACTATTGAAAGAGGTAGTCAATCTTTAAAGGTACAATTGTGGTCTTAGGGTACTGTCTCAGTGATGATCTGGTTCTTATAGATCCACATGGGTCAATGCAGGGGTAATTCATGAGGACAACCAGATGGATTTCACCTAGAGAACTGGTGTTGAGTAGTGATGGGCATGAACTGGGAAAATGTGGTATGGTTCATGGTATGCCAGCTTCATGAACCATGAAACATCACAAATAAACCAGTTTCATTTGTGAGGTTTGTGACATGGTAGAACACCCCTCAGCATGATAGAGACACCAAACTCACAAGGGATATCCGGCTAACCCTCCTCTACCTACATGCCAAGGTTGGTGAGGATTGAATTTATGGGGTTCGAGTTATGGCTCCCCCAAAGAAGGTGTCCCCAGGAAAGCATTTTCTGGGGAAATGACAAGCACAGGTTCATGAGGGTCAGGATTGTATAGAATGGATCCTGTGCAAATTAAAGATGCCAAACATGCAAGAGATCTCCAGATGACTCTCCTCTACTTGCCCTCCAAGTTTGATGAGGATTGGATTTATGGGGTCCAAGTTACAGCCCCCCAAAGAAGGTGCTCCTATGGAGGGAAAAACAGCAAAAAAGCAAGGACAACAGAAGCCATGCAGAACAGAATCGAAGTCCCAGAGAATCTCTGCAGTAGAAACTGAAGGTTGGAGGCATTTTTGCAAGCCCAGCAGAACCAGTGCAATGTGCCCAGCAGAACTAGTGCCACTGTGGCACTGTGAACCCAACAGGACTAAGGTCAAGTCAGGGAAGTGTTTTTTGGGGGGACATGTCAGACACAGGTTCAAAAGTATATAGAATGGACCCCCTGCAAGTTACACACACCAAATGCACAGGGAACCTCACCCTGCCACCTGCTCTTTTACAATCTCTTCAAGTTGGGGGTGGATTACATTTCTGGCGTCCCAGTTACAGACTCCCCCAAAAAGTCTCTCCAATGCTCTTTCCAGAAAAGACAGCTGCAGTTACAGGAGTCTATGGAACAGCTCAGAAATAAGACAGCAAACTCACAGGGAAAGTTCACCTGGGCAGACCCCCCCATCAGACAGTGGAACCAAGGCAAGCATCCCCCCTATGCTTGCAACCCCC